GGAGTCAGCCAATTTTTTGCGCAGAAGATTGCTAGACAGATAGATAGATGGATAAGATAGATTAGTTAGATTAGATAGACTTGGTAGATTAGACAGATTAGATCAATGATTCGCTCTGACCAGAGGGCTGCATGCAAACATCTTGAAAAACATAACTACTTTCTTCGAGTGATCCCCACCCTGGCACATTATGCTGGCATACTTTTTGACATACCATCTAGAAGTATATATTGGATATGATGTGTATATATATAATTATTAATATACATATTCTGACATTCTATTTGGCATTCCTTCTGGCATATTATATGCTCTGACATTCTTCTGGCATTCTATCTGACAAAATTCTGACATACTTTCTGGCATATATGCGGACATTCTTTTTGGCATTCTATCTGGCATCTATTCCAACATTCTTTCATGGCATCTATTCTGGCATTCTATCTGTCAGTGGGCACTCTGGCGCTCGCGGTCGAGGTCCCGGCAGTGCCAACTGAGATCTGGCGCTCGGGGTTGGGGAGCTGGAGGAAAGGAGAAGGAGGAGGAGGACGGGGTGCACCTCTGATAAAACCTAGAGGCCCTCACCTAGCAGGCGGGGAGAAAAACTTTCTGAGACTTCTCGGCCATCTCTGTGAGGCCCAAGGGAAGAGGAGCTGCTACGCGTTGGGCAGTCAACTGGTTGTGAACGTGCTGAAGCCACTGTACGCGGGGAGAAAAAGACTTGACAAATTTGATATCGACGTTTCAACCATCTAAGATGAACTACGAGAATCTAAGGTTATGATTTTATGGTTATAATATGTTTTCCCTATCATCTCAAACCTCTTGATAGCTGTGTCTGTGGATGGCCATCGCAGGAGCGAAACAACTGCATTGCTGCGATCTCGAACTCGGGGCGAAGGCTGAGCTTAGAGCATGTCGATGTATGCCGTTTTGCGCTGCATAGATTCGACGACTTAGCATGATTTGGCCGGCCACAAATTTGCTCAACTGACAGTTTCAATCTTTTCGATCTCTTGAGACTTTCGGCAGGGGTTTCTTTATGCCCAGTTTTGCTTTCGGTGAGAGGAAGAGCAGCTAGAGTCTTGGCCTGGTATGTCAATTTTTGTGTCCTTGGCTGTCGGTGCAGGATTGTCCGATGCTCGAGCTGCTTCATCAACTTCATTGGCGGATCCAGACGAAGAGAAACCAATGTCACCAGATTTGGAGGAGCCCGAGACATGCAAATGTGCAGCGGTACTGGCTTAGAATACCCGAAAGCAAGGGAACACCAATGACTTAAACCATATCGAAAATTGCAAGTGGTCCTTGCATTTGCAGCAGAAGCTTTCAATAGAAAACTGCGTTCCTGTAGGAATGAAAACAGGGATTGGCCCGTAGGATATAGGCTACGTAGGGCTTGAGTTGTGGGTCGACAAATTCTACTCCCATCGAGCCCAAAGGAAGCTATCGCAGAACTCATGGCCCAG